TCATGAGGCCATTTCCGACCTTAGGTTTCTGGCTGGGACCCGGAAAGTAATGAGTATACACGAGAAATCAAAGGAATAATAATAGTAATAAATACAGCATACACGAATGAAGGAGAAAGTAGGAAAAGTATACTGCAGGCGTGTGAGTCTGGTGTTAAGTACCGAGTTGTATTCACAAAACAGAATATCAGCCATAAACACTTTGGCTGTCCCTGTGGTGCAATACAGTCTCAACATCCTTAATTGGAACATAGCTGACATTAAGTTAATGAATGTCAAAACAAGAAAGCTTCTTACTTGTCACCGCATGCATCACCCCAAGGCAGATGTGCCCAGATCCGAAGGAGGTAGAGGATTAGTTCTACTAGAACTGTCTTAGAAAACCACAACAACCGGTCTTCAAAGATACCTGGAAACTACAGAAGATTGGATGATGATCTGTGCCAAAGAACATGAAAGAAATAAGAAACCGTAATAAAAGAAAGCAATAAATTAAAAAGGGAATTTCAATTGGGCGAAGAAATGGAATTAAACCATAATACATCTACTACAGTGGTAAAGAACGTAAAAAGAAAGCAAAATCAAATCCAATGTACCAAATACAAAAACGATGCGAAGATAAGCCACTTCATGGTCAATACTCTGCCCGTACCAAACAAGCTGACGTAGATAAAGCCCGTACCCATCAGTGGCTTTGGCTACATAGTGCAAGGTTAAAAGCTGAAATCGAAGGTTTTATTCATGCAGCATAGGACTAATGTTTACTAACTAGAAATTACCAAGCACACATACTGAAAAATTGTTATGCAGATTCTCTGATAAATATCCAGAAACAATTGATCATGAACTTTTACGAGAAAGAAACTGCAAGAAAATGGTATGAACAGCAGCCAGACCTGTATAAAACAGAAATCAAAGGAAATAATAATAATAATAATAATAATAATAATAATAATGCACAGACAAAACAATCAAAGCTAATCATCATAATGAGAGACCACAAAGACAAAATGTGCCTCCTTATTGATATGGAAGTCCATACAGACTGTAATGTATCTTTGAAGATTTTCATAAAACTATCAAAATACAAGGACTTTGGAATCGAAATCTCAAAAACATGGCACATCAGGACATCAACAATTCCAGTTGTACTTAGAGCCCTCAGATTGAGTGGAAAAGATTCCAATAGACTCATTGAAGGGATTCCTGATAGGCCATGCTTTAAAGAAATACAAAAACTGTTCTCACAAGTACCGCCCACACCTTACGAAGGACTTTATGTAAAATATGTGTGTGTGTGTGTTTTTTAAATGATTAATGAAAAATATCATGATGCGTTTTCTGACCTTAGGTCTCTGGTCGCCACCTGGGAGGAAATGAGTATACACTAGAAATCAAAGGAAATAACAAAATAAATGTTATTGAACACACCCGACCAGATATAACAATAGTCATAAGAAGATTCTCATGAGTGTTTGTTGATAGATGTGTTATGTCCCGGAGATAGCTACATTGCAGATGAAGAAGTTGAAAATCTTGTGGACTACTCAGGGACAAGTGTAATTGTGGAGAGAATGTGGAATGTACATGCCAAAGTTTTGTCAATTATCATTGACGCCCCTGGGTCGATTGAAAAGAATCTCCAGAAAAACCATGATACCAATCGCACTCAGTATGAAAACATCGAAAACAAAACAAAAAAACAAACTATCTCAGGTACAGCAAATACCCTTCAGAAAGTGCTTACCGTCTGACGTCTTCAGACTTGACAGGGAGTTACTTAGTATTATTTTCTGTGTTTGAAAGCATCACCATGCAAACTTCAGTAATAATAATAATAATGATAATAATAACCGCAGTCCCTGCGGACTGTAATGTATCTTTGAAGATCTTCAAAAAGCTATGAAATCGAAATCTCCAAAATGTGGCTCATGAGAACATCAACAATCCTTCTTGTTGTAGTTGGAGCCCTCGGATTGGTTTGGAAAAATTCCAATAGACTCATTGAAGGAATTCCTGGAAGACCATGCCTTAAAGAAATGCAAAAAAATTTTCTCACGAGTACAGCCCACACCTTACGAATGGCTTTATCTATGTAAAGTATGTGCAATTATTTTTTTCAAATTGCTCAGTGGAAAATGTCATGATGTCATTTCTGTTGCGGAGCCCGGAAAAAATAAAAAGTACGCACCAGAAAACAAAGGAAATAAAATAATAATAATAATAATAATAATGCATCAAGAATTGCTCTTATGGCTTCTGATCTTAATTGAATGGAATTGTTTTGGTTTGTACATATTTGCTCTTGGAGAATTATTGAATGACTATTTCTCTTTCCAGTATTGATGGCGGTTTACTTCCTAGCCTTTTGTTTGATGTCATGTGGAATATCAACATCTTGATTATGTCATTATTTTCTATTTTAGTTACACGTGGTATTCCTTGTTGATGCTGTTGAAAATTCTCAAATGATGTGGTTTCTGTTATTTGGTATCGATCGTTTCTGACCTAGTCTATGGAGGATTTGTGAAGTTTATCTTCTGACAATTCCCATTACCTCTAGATATCGGTATACTTTGGTTTGGGTGTATACTGACCTTGTGTAATGATTAAAGAAAATGCACAGTGCTAACAGTACAAAGGAAATCTTTATATAATACAATATATATATATATATATATATATATATATATATATACCCCCCAAAAAAAAAAATTACCTCAACATGCCTCAAGAATTGATACTATCCCCATGTTGAGGTAAGTTTTTTTTGCTGTAAAAAATACATATGCTCTCTTATAATAAATACATTGAGCTCTCTGTGGATCAGTTTTAATAATTAATATTACTAGGATCGACTACCTGTATTCTCTCTCTCTCTCTCTCTCTCTCTCTCTCTATATATATATATATATATATATATATATATATATATATATATATAATAATAGAGTATAGTAATATATAAAGATGAGGTGAAAGTTAAAAGTTTCAAGTGTAAAAGTCCTGGCGCATGGGAGAAAGAGAGTCTCTTTTTCATATGCGCCAGAACGTTTACACACACACACACACACACACACACACACACACACACACACACACACACACACAGAGAGAGAGAGAGAGAGAGAGAGAGAGAGAGGAAGTATATGTATGCGTATATCAAAAATGTATTGGCTGCCTACTTGTAACATAGATGTAGAAAGTTATGTATTCAGTTGTAGCAGCGTGTTGCTTAAAAAAGGCGGTGAAAGAATATTTTATTTGCTATATGCTTTCAGTGTATCAGGACGATTTATCCTTCTCAAGTCGCCAGATGATCGTGCAAATGCCGTATTTTGGATAAGGCTATGTTACGATGACCATTGAATCATTGGAGAATGAACAAAATTTATTTATCTATTCTGGTTTTGGTTGATTTTCCATCTGTTTATATACACATCTATAAATTCGCATCGAAAATGCTGCTTTGATTCTCATTGGTTCGCCTGATATCCTGGTTAGAAAGCTTTCTGATTGGTTGGTCGAAATATGGCTGTGTGGCCTGGCAATTCTGATTATTCATCTATGAAATTTTCGTTTTCTTGCCATTATTTATTTCTATTTCTTACACTAAAGATAAAAAGCAACAAGTTTATCTATTACTACAGCATTATCCCCAGTAACTCTGTGCTTGTTTACCAGTATTCTCGTTTGGGTCAAGTAACTGACAAAGGTAATTGTGGTCATGATTACTATATTTAATATATAGATTTGTAGCAATAGAGAATATTGCTACAAATCCACACATTAAATATAGTAATCGTGACCACAAATCGTGACCCAAACGAGAATATTGGTAAACATGCACAAGGTTACTGAGTATAGTGCTGAAGTAATAGATAAACTTGTTGCCACTTGATCTTTAGTGAAAACTACTAACTAATAACACAGAGAATAAAATAAAGAAAATATAACATTGTTAAAAAGAAAAATTAAAACGAAATGTAGTAATGTTGTCTTAGTGCAGTCTCTGTGTTTTGAAATATTAATTTTCAGTTTAAAAAAACTATCTTGATTAATTTGTTACGCATGGATACAAGTTTTTAAGAGAAAAAATATAAACTTTTATTTTGTAATTTTTTTCATTTTTTTTTTTTTACAATACTTGGTTTTGTAGTTATTCGTCTGCCTTCCATCGACTTGACTGCCTCATTCTAATATTGAACTAAAGTTATTGCTGTCGGCCATACACAGATTTTTCTTACTCTTCATCTTTGATTTTCAAAGCTTTTTTCTTTTTGCAATCCTTCACATTTAGCGCGCACACACACATACACACACACATACAAATAAATATAACAAACCAACAACAACACATTGGCAATTTAATAATATTAAACAACAAGCTTCACCAAATTATTATCCTTATCGTTATTATAATGTATTTTATTCTTAAGTGATTGAATGAATCAAATTTAAATAATATTCTTTTTATTGTTCAATCTTTCATCTTGTATAATCTTCGGCAACAGCAACGGCAAAAAAAAAAAAAAAAATGAGGAAAGTCATTGAAAATCTCGATTGTATTTGAATATTGCTGAAAACGGAAAGTAAAAAATAGAATGAGTTGCGGGTGGAGTCAGGAAAGAAAAGTCACAAAGGATTTCATTTGGATTAATTTTTTCTTGTACCTTTTTGTTGTTAATAATTCGTTTCTAATTTTTGAAAGGTTACAATGGAAAAAATAAATGAATGAACAAACGGCCAAGAGAAGCGATGCACAATAAAACCTATCTCAGCTCCCAAGCAGATTAAAACGGATTAAAATACTGTTTATTTAATATTTTCTTTGATAATGACGATGCCACGTTGCGAGAAAGAGGTTGGATTAAAATAGTAGTTAGTATTTTAATTTCTGCACCAAATCAGAATTTAAAAAAAAAAAAAATTACTAAATGGGCCCATAAAAAAATTATAGCCGTACTAACAAAATTACACAGGTTAAAGTAAAACTCGGCTTACGGTCACATCAGATTGAAACACCGGTTTCTGTATATTCACCGAATTTAAGCAGCCTCGAGCCTGGTTAGTAACTAGATGGGTGACTGCTTGGGAATTCCAGGTGCTGTAAG